TAAAACATATTTATCATGAACCTGATATAAATATTATTTCGAATTCTTCTCAAAAATTATCAGTTGAATATCGTTATGTTCGTCATTTATTACAAAAAACTCGACGTATATTATTCGAAACAAATGAAAAAATCTCATTTATAAAATCATTATTATATAAAATTTATCGTCCAAATAAATATTTTCATTATTCGAAACAGATATTAAATATGTATATAATTGCATTTATGTTAACTTATTATTTAACATTTAATATTTTACAAGCTGGATTTTATATTATTGAAAAACTTTATAGTATATTTGCCATACCATTACTTGTTCTAACTGATGAACTTGATTTACCACATCCACAAGCATTTAATCTTAAATATGAAATGATAATAGCATGTTTTTTAACAGCTATTGTTTATTATGGACAATTATTATGGGGTATGAAAAGTTATCAAAAACATATGATTGATTCTTATAAAGGTAAAGATTTTAGTTTTATTTGAAATATTTTAAAAAAATTGTATTTTTAAGGAATTTTTATTGATATTCCACCGCGAACAGCATTTAAGAGTGCACAACTGATATCAAAACATGCACATTATCCAGGATATTGTCTTGCTTATCTTGGTTTTGCTTATATATCATTGGGAAATATTGTTTTCATTACAATTATTATTTTACGTGTTCTTTTCAAACAAATTTTTCTTGTTGAACAAGTTGCGAAAGTGCTTATACCTATATTAGTTCTTTATTTATTAAAATTCATATTAATGTGGTTTCTATCAAGAACATTTTTTCTACAAAAGTAAGTTATTTGCATTAGCTAAGAATCGATTAATGAATATATTTGTTTTTAGACATGGAAAAACGATGGCATTGAAAAATCTTCGAGCATTTTTTATATTTAATTATTTTAATTTCTTCTTCGATTGTTTTCTTGGTATTGTTTCATGCAGTCTTCGTGTAACAAAAGCATCGATAGCTGCAGTTCTATTTTTACCTCGATTAGATTATTGTATATTTGGACGTACATTAGAAAAAATGGATTCTGGTTTTATATCCTATGTATCATTTATACATATGGAATGTCTTCATACACATCCCGTGCTTGTTTATTATTGTTCATTAGTTTGTGAAAAAATTGAAAGACGTGAACAATATCTTCGTTCAAGTAAACGAGAAATGCGTAATATAGAAATGGAAGCATATAAACGTCGTCAACGTGCAATATTTCGTTGGTGGTTAGGTTATACATTAATACGAAATACGCAATTAACACAACTAAGAAAACATCAAGTTGGTCATTTACAATTACAATCAGCAGAAAGTTTTAATGAATTTTTAGAACGAAAATTTTTTAATCGTTTTCAATTACCACAAACAACAAAATTTACATTAACAAGAAGTCGACGAGATTTACATGCAGAAGGAACTATGGATTCAAATACGATTATACGTAATAATACAACAGCATGTACTACTTTATTACTTGATGTTGATGAACATGATGATCGAAAACCAGGGTTTTGAAGAAAAGAAAATTTTTTTCTATAAAAACTATTTAGTCTTTCAGTGATAATGAATTTGCTCAAATAGAACAGTTCCATCAAATATATAAGACAAAAACAAAAAAATGTTTTTCTTTTCCATCTGTTGGTCTTTGAGACAGTATTATATTTGTAGAAAACAGCTTGTGTCTTGCAGCTTTCTTTCTTTTCTAGTTCTTTTTTCTTTTGTTTTTCTTTTGTATATATTTTGTGTTGTGTGTTTTGTTTTTTTGTTTCATTACTTTTTCAGAATTATTGTGTGAGAATGTATATGTGCCTATGAATTTTGAGTGTAGTCTATTTTTTGACAAAGAACAGCTATAAAAAAAATGCTTTGGTTACACTTGTAGTATACCAAATGTGATCTCAACTCATATCTTTTTTTCCTATCAAAGTATAATTCAAGCATCTTACATCAATTTAAGTAATTAGGAAAATCTTTTTCCATCTTGAAGAAATCAGTATTCTATTAAATGATTTAATTGAGATAAATTCATATCGTTACAGAATCTATCAAATTCGCTTTCTCTAGGTATATGTTATAAAATTGTGAATGCAAATGATCTTGCCTGCATAGACAAGAGTAACATTTATGTAAACAATTTGAAATATATTGTAAACATCAAAATAATGTTTCTCTTAAATAAATATCATTTCATAAATAAACAATCAAACAATCGAATAAATAAATTTTTTTTCTTCAAAAAGTGATTTTTAATCTATTCGAAATTCCGTCTTTTGAGTACAACCCTTGATAATACGCGCCAGAATATGATTAGATTCTACATGTTCATTGTAGTTTTTTATTTACTAATTCCATTTGTAATTCTAATCAATGATATAGAATCACTTATTATCAATAATCACATTCCAGATATTATTGTCTGCCAATATATTAATACTGATAATTGTAAGATTGTAATTGATCAGATGAAAAAATGTCAAGAAATTATTTTCAGTGACCCTGGATTTAGTTATCAACAATATGTAGAAAATATCAATATACATAGACAAATTCTAGCTAAATACCAAATATTATGTGAAGGTACACAAGACGATTATATGACTAATGATTTATTTGCTTTTTAAAAAAAAAGATTAACCGTCTTTCAATAATGACTCAATAAATATATATACTGGTCTTTTGATATGAGATTATATAGAGAATATTATAATAACCTCATAGACGATATGTCCTTAGAACGTCTTATTCATCTATGATTTTGAGGATGCAATAGAAAATAGAACTATTTATGTATTCAATACTCTTAAGGTATTATTTAACCAAAATCTTTTCATAATCAAGTGAATTTCTTTTTTACTTGCCATATTTTCTATTGTATAAATCAAAACGAAAATCATATTTGACAGCATCAAGGTTTTCATGCACTTTTTTCTTATCGTTGAAAGATTATTCGACTTTTTTCTTTAATATTAAGAGTTTCGCTGAAAGCCCTCGAATGCAAATAACACTACAACAAGCATAGATGAAAATTAATTATTTCAAAAGCTCATAAAATTATCATAATCAAGTTGTTTTTTTGTTTGATTCAATGATTTCAGTATGATAATTTTGATCGTAATAGTTATTTTCATCTCATAATGGACATTAAACATATCTTGAATCAATAATCTATATTCTTTTTGTTGAATAACTACCTCGATGCGGTCGGAAGACATTTTTTATTTATAGAATATGACAACTACCTGTGATAAAACATTTTCTTTTGATTTGAGAAATAAACGACAATATATATATATACCAAAAACCACCATTATCGCTCACCGTAGTAACAATGATGACGTTATTAAAAAATACTTTAACATATAAATAGAAGAAAAAAAAGAAAAAAAAAGAACTATTGTTCAAGTACTATACTAAAAACGACTGAAGCTTCCCATTCACTCTTTATGGCTTCCAACGATGAAATAGAACAAAAGAAAGAAAGAATCGAAATAGCAGTTTAATAGTTTAATATGGGTGGTCGGGCAAAGAAAAACAAGCAAGATACCATCAGTTAAATATACATGTATGTCTGCATACATATATATATACATATATGCATATATATATGTGTAGAGAAAGAATTAAATCATAAAAAGACTGCTGAAATAACAATAGAGACGATGGAAGCAATAGGGGCAGCAGTGGTTTTTTTTATGCTGAAATTGAAAAGGAGTATTGTGGGCGTAAGTAGATGTATTTTTATTTCTCTCAAAAAAATTTGAAGAGGAAGGACAATTCAAGTCAATAACTATATGACATTTTTAAATATAAGTAGAAACTTAATAGCAGCAAAGATAATATCTGAAAATAATGGTTCTCGTCACACTAAAACCAAAGGTTTGTATCATACAAAATACTGAAGTAGACACCAGAAAATTATTTGAGTCTCAATAAAGATATCTTTATTTGCATTACTGTAACGGAATATGTATAACAACGTATACATATGTATATATGTATGTACCGAGAAAGAGATTGTTATTAATTAATTTTCGATGAGAAAAAAAATGAATAGTAAAAGTATTTATGTATATGCTTCATCGAAGTTATGATGATGAAAAGAAAATATAGTTCGTCGTCCTTTCATTCGCATAAATGACACTAGCATATATATATATATAAGAAAAATAATTTTTGTTAACGTACTGTTTGTTTTATTAATCGAAATAATTTTTTTACATTTACTTGACATAGAAGAAACAGATAGTTACCCTGTCATAATGCCATTTGTAAACGACGTAACAAATAGTTAGCTTAATATGAAATATGCCATTGTAAATGAAGATTCCTTAAGGCTTTAGTATAGGCAATATATCATTTGTTCGAATGAGTCTAAGAGAAGAGGAGAATAGAAGAGAGAAAAAAACGAAGACATATGCCTATTCAGAAGCAATTACAAGTGTGAAATGGATTAGACAGACATCGAGCAGCCTTTTACAGTTCGAGCATACATTGATAGATACAGAACCGTATCGTTGTGGTATGTATATATTATTATATGCTCGTCTCTCTCGTATTCATATACATCATTGCTCGAATTATATTTCCTTGAAGTAACATAGACTTACAATATATCATTCTCATTTTATTCAATAGTATTGTGCCTTTGGAAGTACAACTTCGTAGCAACTTAGCTATACATCGGTACAAGAATGTCTACAAGACACTATTTCGATCGAACAATGCCAAGAAATAGTTTAGGTGGATTTTATACTTCAGCATCATCAGACAATCGAGGTGCATATTCATTACCATCAAGAAGATATGTAAGTAAGATTTTTTTTTAATTTAGATGTGATATATATCTATATCTTATTTTCAAATAAGATTACTCTATGTTATCTTATTGTATTGATGATGCATAATATCATTATTTCTTTTTTCGAAGTTTATGATCATAGTCCATTAGCAATATATTATACAACTTGATGTTATTTTCGTATTTAGACTTTGTTTTTATCTTTCTTTACACCACTTATCCATCTCTTCTACGTGTTTATCAGCCATGGATATGAATGACGATGAGTATGTGTATAGAAATCATCATATCATGAGTTTTTTCATATATATATATAAATACATATATATGTATAAAGAGAAAAAAAAAAGAACTCGTTACATCCATTTTGAGAGTTACTCTCGTTAGCAATATAAAAAGAAACCTTTCATTTTTACAAGGATGCGTAACAGTATGATCATGAAATTCGAGATGTTCTTTTTCATATAAAGTTTATCTCTCTGCCTTTTTCTTCTTCTTCTTCTTCTTTTTGTTTTCAATATAATGATTGAGATAGTCAAGTTCTATTACTTTATATAGATATATATAAATTCCAGGCATTTTATTCATATAAAAAATAGAAGTAATTTTTTATTGTAAAAGTTTATCATTTGTTAAAGAATAAATATAACCTAGCTTTATTCGTCTTTGCACTTGATTGATTTGTCTGTTTATTTTAGGGACAACATTACCTACACGACACAAACCTTTTTTCGGGCAAGGCTTTTTCTTCTTCTTCTTCTTTCTCTTCTATACATCCATCTTCATCATTCATAAGTGCAGATTCCTATTCAGGACACGTTCGTGAACGAAGCGGATCTGTACCACGATCGCCCTCTATTTCTCAAATGTCCTCACCACATTATCAATCATCACTTGATCTCGTAGCATCATCATTGAAATGTGATGATTGTCGAACAAATGATGGCCTTTTTCAGTGTTGTCATTGTGATCAACGTTTATGCATACAATGTTGTAACAAACATTATAAAAACATAACTGTTGAACTTGAACGTTTGCATGAATTAAGCGATCGCCTTGTAGCAAAAATTCTTCATGCAAAAAATGATCTTGAACGACAAAAAAATGAAGCACTTGAACAATGTCATAAATGGCGTGTTGATACAATTAGTACAATTAATAAAGCACACACACTAATTGTTCAAACAATTCATGATGAATATGAAACACTTGGAAAAGAATATGAATCATTCGTTCAAAAAGGAATGGCACATATTCATGTTGATCAACATGAATTAATGCGTATGAAAAAAAGTAATATTAATTCACTTTTATCATCTTCATCAACAGATTCAACAAATGCAATTGATACAATACGAAAACGTATTGATACATTTGCAAAAACAATCGATGAAACAGGAAGATTCTCATTTCAAGTTAGATTACCAACATTTTATATCGATGATAATCTTCGTGTTGAATCACGTTTTGGTGATGTTACACGTAGTACAAGTGCAACATGGAAAAATGAAAGTACCATTCCATCATCATCATTTACTGATAGATCTACTCAAGGTGATGAACCATCGATTAATGCTCAATCAACTCAAACTGATATGCCATCGTCATTACCTACGGATAAACTGATTGAAGAAAATGAATCATCGGACAATAATCAACCGATTGAAAATGATATATCCGATTCATCATCTATTGATAAAATTACTGAAGACAATAAGTTTTTAGATAATATTCGACCAATTGAACTTGACGTACAATTAAATGATAATAAAAAAGATATGTCGACCAATGCTGATGATCAAATTATCGAAATATCTGATAAACTAGATACACATGTAAGTTAGAAAGAATAAAAACAAGATTATTTTAATTTCTTAAATTCTTTTAGGTATATACTGCTGAATCTCAAGCAGTTGCTGTGTATCCTGCATCTTCTCCTTCTCCTTCACCTTCGCCAAAATTTGAAATCGATGATACTCATCCAATTTTACGTCCATCAACACGTTATGCATTATCTATAGAAAATAATGTTGAACTTCAACAACAACAATATTTTTCACCAAATTTTCGTGGTGAACGTTATGATAGTAGATATGGAACAGTTTCAAATTTACCAAATATTTCAATAGAAAGTCCTCTTGATAATCATTCCTTATCATTAACAGCACTTAACGAACAACCATCTAAAAAACGTGCCTATCCATTAAGTAATGGATGTGGCTCATTTAATAATAATCGTCAACCACAAACACAACAGACACTTCCTCGTCCATTATCACCGAATTTTCCAAATAATGATCCTGAAGATGCATTTCGTAGTATATCCTATGTTCAATTAAAACGCGAACAAGACGGTTCATTAGAAGGTATAGCTATTCAAATTGAACAAAGTCAACAAACTAATGGAAAAGTACAAAGACGTCGCACTTGTATGGAATCATGTGGTGTACGACGACGAACTACAATTTTACCTCCTCGATGTCCATCATCAAACAGAGATCGGTCATTAAATGACCCACCTGGAATTTCTTATCGACCAAATTCAAGTCCTGCTTCAATTAACTAAAAATTTCTCCATTTTTCTCCTCCTTGTCTATAATTTAAGCACAAATGTTTGCGAATTTCTATAGAAAACACTTCTAAAAGACATGTTGTTAGTTTTTTATATTTTGGTTTTGCTTCTTTTTTTTTATATTATTTGTGTTCTTTCTTTCTTTTTTTTTTTCTAAATTAACTCAACAAAAAAAACTAAATTCACTTCATTTTTAATTATTACTGTCATAAAAATAATATATACACATTTAATGTATTTTTTGTCATTGACGATAATATTTTATAATAATAATAATACAATTTTTTTCAATATTATACATTCGTTTAGAACGAAATAATTATATTTTCTTTTTAAATCTCTTCATCATCATAATTTTGATATTATTACATATCATTTTTTAAATTACATACATATATATATGATCAATAGTTTTGATAAGAACAAATGATTTTTATATATGATAACAATATTCAATTGAAAAAATGATAATTGCATATATGACATTGAAAAAAAGAATTGCAATATTGTAATTTAAGTTAATTGTCAACGGTAAACATTATTTAATTTTTAAGTCAAGACATATATATTGAAGAATATGAATTATCTAAAAAAAATAATTAACATGAATGATATATTATTTTATAACTATTTCAATGATTGTTGTGAATAGAATTGCAAAAAAAAGATATCGGATTTTAATACAATCAGTGAGGAAAAAAATGGCTCTGTTCAAAAATAAAAAAACAGACTGATAACGATAAGAAATTCAATTTTCATACAATGAAAATTATCTTATTATATTTTCTATGTTTGATTATGATTTTCAGTCATGTGTAGATTGTTTACTGATGCTTAGATCGATAGTTTTGATAAAACTCTATTGAGAATAATGTTACTATTATCTTAAGTCATGATCTAAGTTAAGATATTGTCTTTTGTAATCAATGTGAATGATGAGAAATTATATTGAACGTCAGAGATTTAACTACACGTAACATGAGATATTAGCTATGACAAGCTTTTATTCAATGACAAATAGACAGGAACTGAAATGTCAATCGGACAATCATATTATACACGAGAGAGAGAGAAAAGAAAAAGTAATAGGAATCTTTTCTTTTAATCAAACACCAATATTTTATCATTGTTAAATGAACATATGGAAGCTTAGACAACGTTATAATAATAAGCAATGTATAATAATAGTTGATAGAAGAATGACGAAAGTAACCTTAATTGTATATTGCATCATACAACATGATTCTTCCTATCATCGAACGGATCAATAAAAGAACAAAAAATAACATGATAAATATCTTAATCATTACAAAATAATATTAACACTTATAATCTTATCATAGACGAAAGTTTTTAATGACTTTTTTTTCTCCTATTAATTCATTAAATCAGTGTATAAACTATTTTAGTTAAATTGATTTTAATATGGAAATGTAAATGTAATTCTTCTCTTTCTTTTTCTCATTTATTATTAGGGTTGCATGACACTATAAATAGCTTTTAGAATGAGAAAGAATAGTACATTTTATTTTCTTTCGACATTTTTAATAATTATTCAGTACTATACTCATTAATATAGCAACGTAAACTCATAATCAGGAAGTTGTTTGACATTATGTATTTTATAAATTGAATCAAGGTTGAGAACTCGTTGTATCTTTTCTTTTTGTTCGACCTCGGTTGAATCCTTGTTAGTTTGATCCAATTTACATAGACAATATGCAAATGAAATTGATTTAAAGTATATACACAGAAGGAATATTCAAAACGAGAGAGAAAGAAACTGATCGAAATACTAAAGTTATTGACAGTAACAATGTTTTACTCCTTCTTGTTTTTTTGACACTCGACAAATAACTAACAAATAATAATAGAAGAGTCTAAGAATATGTAGATGTATACTAAAAGGATTTTATCAGTGTGTTTCGTTCTTGAGATGGTAGGACTTTAATTCTTTTTTTTCCTCTTCTTCTTCTTTGTTAATGAAGATACCTTTTACTTTCTTTCTATTTTTTTTCCTTTTCTACACAAAGCGCACGCACCAAACAGGCATTTGTCGTTTTTTTTTTTTATAACAGAACAAAATTTATTGTATGTGAAGGACGTTCGTCGTTTCTATAAACCAATACGTGTAAGTAGAGAGAGAAAAAACATCCCAGTTCTTCTATCCACCAGTCGACGTTCTTCAGCACGACTACACACATATATAGAGGCATGCGCATAGCGAGAGAGAAGAATGTCTTTGTTTTTGCTCTTGTGGTTTTGCTTCCATTGCGAGTTCTTCTCCTTTTGCCATTTGACAAGAACAATAATGGAAAAACAAAAATTGTCTGGTTTTACTGCTTTTTCATCACTAGAATCTTATATATCTAATACTTATGTTCAATAAATAATTGGTGAGTTAATCTATACAAATACTATAGAAAATAATAAATAAATAATATCTCATTTATTTTTCTATATATATATATATATGAGTTTCAAAATAATTCCTTTTACAATGACGAGCAGAACAGAAAAGAAGAAATATTTTTCTACACGAGTCAGTGTTGTGGCATATTTTTACAGATATATCTTTCTATGTACGTTTATTATTATTATTTTTCTTCATTTATTTCCGTCTATCGACAAAAGCGGTTAGAGATCGATCAACATATGCGACAATAAAAATAGACAACCGTTAATAGCTGCATGGTGTATATATTGTTTTGTTTCCTATCAAGAATTGAAGTTGTCTGTATCCGATAAGAGAGTGTAACAGGTGTATATAAAAACAATATTCGATTTAGATGACAGCGACTGCTGTCAAACTATTTAATTCGTACAAAATGACCTTTTGATATTAACATACGTATAGTACGTGTATATAAAATAGAATGTTGTAGTTACAATCCTTCATATCGAGGTGATGTAACAGCAAGCAACATCATTCTACATCTGACACATTAATTAGTCAATTTTTTTTTCCAAAATCTCATCATAAATGTAAGTGAGAAAAAGAACGATAGTGACAGTAAAAGCAACAGCAGTTTATAAATATATATAAATGCATGTGGAATAGTATCTCGTGTCGCAGACTACAACATTTATTGACGAACGCCTAAATAGCACTCGTCCTTGATTTACAACTGTGTTATTTTTATCCTGCTGGTGCGCATGCGAGTGCGCTCTTATACAGTGGCTAAGATACATAGTGAGATGCATCTTCCTATCTATTCTCCCTGGTATGATGCCTGTGATTATCAAGAGAGCATGTCTATTATTCTAAGGGTGTGCTTGATCTTTCGTCGTATAAAATGAGTGGGCGTTACTTGTGTTCTTCGTTTGGATATATTAATACATACATTGACATGACAAGTGTTGAATTGCTTGTTTCAACTTGCAATAGCACAATATGCATATATATATATGTATTATACTATATAATAAAAATTACTGGCTAACGTTAGTCAAATTTAATCTTATTCATGAGATTGCGTAAGTATTCGCCATACTTTGCTATAACGGTAGCAATCAAGTGAAACTTGATCTACTTAGACTGATCGTCGTGCATGCTGCCAATATTTACCACAAGTAAACTATTCACACATAATATGTGCGAGCATACGCTGCCTATTTTCTCGTTCTCTCTTTTTTTTTCTCATCCACATTCTCTTTTCTCACTTCACTTCATCCGTTCTTTGGATGCCATTTTGCCACAGTTCATTACGTGAGGAACTTGTCGCGTCACGTTCGCGCATTGCACATGCAATATGAGTGTTTAATGATGTCACTGAAGGTTGTCTGACTTCTGTACAATATAATATCTGTATATCGTTTTCAGATACAAAAAAAAAAGAAAAATGCATAGCTACGAGAATTTACCGTCTGAATGGTTTTCGTCACGTAAACGGCCACGATCATACCACCATTTACCACCAATGTCTCGACCTGTATCTAAAAGTTTTAATCGTATATCTGACTTTATCTTTCCTGATACTGTCCATATTCGTCTTCAACAACAACAACAACAACTACGACAACGACAACAACTACTACAACAACAACAGCAACAACTACCTATCTATCAAAGATATCAACGTGCTGAAAATTATAGTTTACCTGTATTAAATCGTCATAATCTCAATCAACATGATTTAATTGTTGTAGAACGTTTACCTTTTGAAGAACTTGATAATGTTGACTTTCTCTATCGTGAACAATATCAAAGAGAACAACAACAACAACGACCACAACATTATCAACCAACTCGACCAGTTCGACGTCGTTATACATCTATACTCGAAGACCGTCGTGTACCTTCTCATGAGAAAATAACACCTGGGTTAGCAGCACGATCAGCTGCATATCGAGAACGAATACGTGATCGACGAAAACGTCATACAACCGATAATGCATATCACTCAATGATGAAATCTATGTTAGAAGAAGAAGAATCTCAATGCATGGATGGTGACGGTGATGGTGGAGGTGGTCCTAATTATATACTTTCTTATACAACTACACTCGATCCAATTACCGATTCAGAATCAATCAATTCTATGCATCAAGAACAACAACAACAACAACAATATTCAAATGATATTTCATTAGAAGAATGGAAAAGACAAACTCATAATCGAGTACCAATCAATGGAACAGTGCCTGTTATGATTGAACGTGAACGTCCATTACACCGTTCACGTAGTTCATCATTAAGCAGTCGAGATTCATCAAGTGACACAGATATCACTGAAAGACATCCATTGAAAATGAACTATGATCATTATGAACAAGAAACATCAGTAAGAAATATAGTTAAATATTAATATTATCTATATGTATATATATATATACTATATCTAGTTTATCACACCATCAAAAGAGCTTCCAGCTGTCTCTGTGCCTCGGACAGCCATTTGGGAACGTCTTCAATCTGAACCTGTTCGTCTTCGTCATCAACCTGACATATTCATTCCTATTACCCCAGCAGCAGCAATAGTACCAGACACAAACAATCAAGAAACAATGTCTTATTCTAATAATCTGATCACTTCGTCGCCATTTGATAATGTTGATGATTATCATCATCAGATAAACAATCGAACATTATCTCAACAAGAAGATAAATCAACCCATCATGTGTCTCTGTGCGTAAATGATTTACATACAACATTATTTATTGAGGAAGATGCTCTCAATAATACAAAGTCATCGATAAATAGTAACAATAATAGTGGCAAAGGTATCTAATCAAAAGAATACTAAGCACATCAATTAGAATTATTGCATATATTTGACGCAGTAGACAAGAAAGATAAACAACTAACTTTTTGCTTTTATTTCTTATTTAGTGATTATAAAAACATTTATCGATCGAATCATCAGACGATTGCAGCACTTTAAACGATCACTTGATGCTGGATTAAGTATGAATTCATTTCTTTCTTTAATTTTTCTTTTATCTTCTTCTTATTATTATTTGTTTTGCATGCTATTCTCTATTGAATTGTCAAGAAAATTAAATATTCGAATAATATAATTATTTTTGTTTTTCATTCTAGTTCATGTCAGAAAAAGAAATACATTAGTAAATGGTCCTATTGTTACAGCTGAACATCGTATAAAAAGTGAAACCACAAGACGAAGGATTGACTTGGAACAACCAAATAATTATTTTCAGCAACAAACTACTTTACGATCACCATCTTTTGATGTTAATAATGAAGAAAATAAACTTGTTCGACCCTATTTTTTAATAAGACCACAATCTGTACTTCTGTTACCTAATGAATTAGGTAAATTGTATAATTTTATTTTTATTTCTATCTATTTGTATATATTTATTATTAGCTAAATTCAAATGTTGTTTTGGTGGTGATCCACTTCCAACTATTGTCTGGTCTCATAATGACTCACGTATACCAGAATTATTTGCTGCTAGTGGCGCACTATCATCACAATATCGACTACATAAACTTCATGATATCTATTATTTGGATATTGGACCAGTTAGTATTCGTGACAATGGTCAGATAAAATGTACAATAATGAATAGACACGGTCGAGAAGAAGCAATTGCTCAATTAATTATTGCTCGTAAGTATATTTTCTAACGAAATATTTTTCTAATTTTTACTTTTGTCTTTCTTAGCTTCAGCCGCTGATGCGACACCTTCGATCCCACAACCATTGACTGATATAACTATAATTGAAAGTCGCCCTTTGAAATTATCATGCGGTATTATAGGTCTACAAGTAACTGTAAATTGGTTTCATAACGGCAAAGTATAGCTTTTTATATAAAATTTCTTACAATTATATAATACTTAAAAACTATACTGTTTAGTTAATATCACCAATGACACAATCAAAAACGGATTATAATGGTGAAAATGCTATTTTCTCTCTTTCTCGTGTAAGTATTGAAATATGATATGAAATTGTCTGACATTCATTTATATAGTGTATGAGAACTGATGCTGGTACTGTTGATTGTCTTGTTAAAAATCGTTTTGGTGAAGCAAGAACAAGTTGTCGTATTGAAGTGGTCAATGACCCTGAATTTGACCGGTGAATATGATACATTATTTAGCGTAATAAAGACGAATGCTTCATTTACTTTCTCTTCTCTTTTTTTTGTTTGTTGAAAGAATCATTATTTACCCATTTCCTTTCTTTGTTTCATACATTTCTCTTTTTATGTCTATTTTCCTACTAGTCTAATATGTGGATGATGATCTTTTTCTTTTCTTTTACTGTTGTATTGTAGCCGCATTCTAGTGCTTTTTCTATTGTTAATGTGAATGGATGAATTATTAGCAAGAATTAACAGAGAGAGAAAAAAAAGAATGAAGAAATATAATTAAGAGATCTTTTCAACAAATTTAAACTTCTCATATTTTGAATAACGATAAAAATAATTGAAAGTATGTTATTAAAAAAAGTAGTCATCAACTTGAATTTCAATAATTGATTTTTTTTTCATCTATATTACATACTTTGGTTTGTAATGCTTCTTGTGTAATCAATATTGAACAGAATTTTTCATCGTATTGATTTTAGAGTATGTCAAATAATCAAGAAATTATGTAATAGTATTCACATACGCTTTTAAGTTAAATAGAAATATACAGACAGATCAGTATCGATCAGATGGCTTATAATGCAGAGAATATTCTACTTGAAATCGTCAATTAATCATATTAAGAATTAATTGCATTCTCAGAATAACATTCTTCGATTGTTTTGAGAACAGATCATCGACATACGTGATAAATATAATGACGTAATCTGAAAGAATGACGAAAAAAATATATTTTTCTCATTTAGAATTATCTTATATCTTTTAAGGTCATTTGTATTCATTTTGGTATGTCTCTTGACTAGATACCTAACAAAAACTGGAAGCATCTAATTGACTTCTTGATGTCATGATTTAGTATGTGATGTGACTGAAAAGAAAATGCTGATTTTTACCTAGCAGCATATTTGTGTAAAAGGCGTACACACATATCTTAAAAGTGTGTGTGCATGACTTGCGTATTTAACAGACTCCTTTTATTCAATGAAAGAAAATGAATATATAGTAGCTATTACGAAGTTGTAAAACGATAAGGTATAGTCAAGTTTTTAAATTTGCTTGATAAAATATTAAAAGTATAAATTGTCTGATTTTATTTTTGAGAATCTTCATATCTTTAACTATGAATAAAAATTAGCTATTACTATTTTAAATACTTCTCGATATATACTCAATTCCTTGTTCGAAATTATTTACTTAATTAAAAATTTTCTAAATATAAAACAGAAAAGGGTAATCTCTTTTGGTAATATAAACAATTAATATACGAATGACACAGCATGATCATATTCTTTTTCTATAAAAAAAAGAATTCTATATTTAGTTTCGATATTCTCTATAGAGAATAAGTAATAATTTCTCTGTTGATTAGTATTAAATGTATATATAGAATTGTGATATGGCAGACACCTAAAGGGAAGTTTTTCCGATAAGTATTACTATAACTCAATACTTAGATAGAATAGTTAGTTATTTATGAGTTAGTCAATCAATCTCAACACATAAATGAAATATTTATGCCAAGATCCCCTATGGAATAAGATAAAATTACTCCGTCTGAAGTATCAACTTCTCTCAACAAGAATCTCGTTTATAATTGTGTTTGTTCGAAAATATTTACAGATGACATATTATGAATGTTACAACGTCTAACAATTATATCGTTTGAGGATACTGAATTGAATAAACTGTATATGTTATAACAAAGCCTTGTAAATCTTATATAAATAAGAGAATTATTAACGATATTCTAATATAGACATATGTTGGTTATTTATTGCAAAAACATCACCATATTATAATTTTTACAGCCGATCAAACAACGCTTTTTGTATTTTTATATACTAATAAATAAAAATATTTTCTATTCATCCAATAGAATATTATTATATTATATTTAGCAATACTTATTTTATTAAGATAAGAGGCACTTAATGTCGAAGAAAATCATTGTTTTGGAAAAAAACATCATTTCCAATAACATTGATTTGTTTTGTACTTCATAGAATAAATCGTAATTAAGATGTTTTTCTCCGCAGATGAAATTAGTCATTTGTACGCAATACTCTAATTAGTAGCAATATACGAATCTCAGGTTAAATGCTTATGAAAAATTGCATTTAATATAGGTTGGTTAATATGAAAAAGAAGTTTCTTTTATTTATTTTTGCATTCTAAGTATGATGAGTAATATATATTTTGTCAGAAATGATTTCGTCATGTGATTTTTTCCCCTTTTTACAATATTGGTTAAATGACGTCAACTATAATGATTGGTAGCATGACAAGTTATTATCAATTATTACTTCAGTGTTGACGATAACTGAATATTGGGCAATCTCGAGCTATTCTTTTTAATATAATCTTGATAAATATTTTCGTACTTTTTCTCTCTGGATTCTTAGGAATCTGTTGCACATAATCGATCTATTTGTTTGCGTCATTTTATTTCCTAGCAATATTTGACTCACAATTGTTTCTAATGACGACACTTTTCTACAATATTCCCTAGTATAAAGCGGCATCTATTCTATGATGATATCCAAATACGCGTCATGTCTGATTTATATTATTAGCTAACTACCATCCAATTGAAGATTGAGAGGAAAAACAAAACAAGCAGAAAGTAAAATAGATAAATTGACACAACAATTATTATCAGACGTAAATTACATAACTAATAGCCAAACATTGTTTGTGTATATATTTTTTGTTCATCTATATCCTGTTTATCAACTATTACTGGATTACTTTATAAAACAATAACATATTTATTATAAGATCTTATCTGTATATTCCTTTTAACTAAAAGGTTATGAAATTTCAATTTAAGTACAATTTTCAACGCAGTAATCGGTATGATATTTCTTTATTTTTTTTTCTTATCAGACTAATCTCTGAAATAATTGATTTTTCATATAATCCTCGTCACATGCTCTGGTTTCTATTTTACTTGACTAATCACAAGGTTGCAATTGAATATGTAAAATTTTTCTCCTTTATTTTTTCGTCTAGCAACCATGATGGAAAAAAAATCATTGTTAAGGTGTAGGAGTCGCTAGGAGAATAAATATGTCTTGCGAAAAATAAAAAGCAATTCAAAGTACGATTTTATGACCAGTTATGCTTCCTTCTTTGACTCATAAGTTTGCATTGACACATAAGAGGCTGTCGGAAGAAAATCAAATGGTGTCATTTTTCCCTCGAATGATGAAAATAAAGATATAATCTTTAACCCTTAATGACACATTAGAAATTCTTTCGATTTCGTTTTTTTAATGTTATAAAAGTCACATGTAAATACTGATAAAAGGTATATTACATGTCAGAGAGGTTTTCGCTGTATTTACCTTGTTCTTTATTTTTTTTTATGTTTTTAGATTGTCATTTAATAAAAATGATTTGGTCCAAATAAATTCATTATAATAAATACATGACTTCACTTTGCGAGTGTCCATTTTTGAATCGCACATTTACAATAGATGATATAACAAAAAGATCACATTGTAAAAGTCTAAAATTTAGACGTGCATTTCAATTTCTTCAATTGCTTCTTATTCAACGTGTTTATGGTATTGATGTTATAACATGTCCAACATGGCGTCGATCAACAAAACATTCCCAACGAGAACTACAACAACAACATAACTATGAAGTCTTTTTAGGTGGTTCATGTAATCCAACAACATGGCGACGTGATCAAGCGATACCATATTTTCAATCACGTTCAGTATCCTTTTATAATCCACAAGTAGCAGATTGGACACCAGAGCTTATTGAAATAGAACATCGTGCAAAAGAATTAGCTCCACTATTATTTTTTGTTATTGATCATGATACTAGAGCTTTAGCATCGATTGTTGAAGTATGTTATCTAGCTGCACGTGGACGAAGTATTATTGTCGTTATGAATCCAATGCCAGAGAGAAAATATACGAAATTTATTCAACAAAAGAATAGTAGTCATGAAAAAGATAATGAAGATGATTATGAAAATGTTTGTGAAGCTCGAAAAATCTTACGTGCATTACTTCAAAGTATTAATGTTCCATTTTTTGATAATGTTCGATTAGCTCTTGAATGTGCTGCATATATACTTGAAACAACGAAACGAACAGTAGCAAATCAGAGTGTTTTCAATGAAGATAATAAAGAAGATGCTAATGATGAAGGTAGTTGTAGTCTTTCTTATCTAGAACAGTTTATATATATCATATTTTGGTTAGATGTTCTTACGCCATTACCAAATTCAGCTAGTGATTGTGAAGATAGTCGGCCATCATCAGTTGTAGTTATTCGTTCTCTTTCTAATAAGACAACTTTTGACTCACCTGATGATTTCTATCGACAAATGCATCAATCTACAATGACAGTTTCATCTCCACCATTTCATCGACGCCATAGTTCTACACCAGATCCAAGTAATATTGAATATTTATGATTTTGAAATCATTATTCTTCTACAATTAATTTCACAGACGCTCCTCAAACTCTTCGATCACCAGTTTGTACAAGGTCACAATTATCATGTTCGACAACTGAAAGTGATGATGATGGTTATGGTTCGCTTTCATCAAGCAACCGTACTTTATCTTCATCATCTTTATCAGTATCGTCGGAATCTTTTGAATCTACTCTAGATCAACAACATGAAGAAAATATTCTAGGGTATAAAAATTTATATATATTTCTAATAGATTCATAATTATAAATGTTTTTTTTTCATTTTGTATCCTATAGGTCCAATCAAACATTATCAACATCTATGATAAATAATGTAATTTCAACTTTTTATTCTTATATTCCATTTGTGAGTTCTTCAAAACCATCAGATTCATCTGTTACTCAATCTCTCTTTGTTCTATGTACACTACCTTTTCGTTTTATCAAAGATACTATTCTTCCCCCTATTTCACCTCCACCATCGCCATCAGAATTTTCACCATCAAAAGAATCAATTGTTTTGAATTCATCGTCACCTATGCCTTTACTTCGGTCACCATCATATCATATGTTTGACCTCTATATAGCATCAGGTACAACTGATGAATGTTGGTTAAATACTTTTGCACTACCAACTCTTAAAAAAATGAATATTACATTTACAACAAGACAAGCATATCATGATCGTGAGCAATTTGATACTTCCGATGATATGCGTACACGGAAACAATCACGTGTATTATATTATTTAATTAATGGTAATGAACGTTTATCACATTTGACAACAGAACTTGCATTTCTTATTGGTGAACATAAACATAAGATAATTGTTTATTTTCAGTCAAATATTGATGAAGATACAGAACATATATTATCAGCATGTGAACGACGTGATATTCAACGTTCAAGAAAATATCTTGAAGATTTAGTACGAAAAGAGAATATTACATTATGTCATTCACGTGAACGAAGTTTAGAACAAGTTCTAGATTTCTTTCATTGAATGATTTAATTCATGCAAGATAATGTTTTGTTTTTTTTCTTTTTTCTTTATGATTGTTGTGATTCTTATTACTGACATTCATCTGCTTAATAATGATAATTATACGATTAGTAAATATGAATTAAAAAGATGATTGTTAATTTTTCATTTTCTTATCAACGAATGTTTTGGACAATGAGAAAAACAGAAATATATACATATATATATATCTTAGTCGTGACTTTTGATGGTATATAAAATTGCACCAAAAAAAAAGATATTTTTTTAATGTATGTTTGTGTGTGTGTGTGTGTGTATCTTGTTCTTGTATTTTATGCTTATTTTTCTAACAAAATTAAACGATTCCGAAAAAAAGAAACTTATCAAATAGTTATTCTCTTAGATTTATACATATAGCCATATATAAGAAGGTTAAATACTATTCTGATTCTTTTTTTCATTTCATACTTTCTTTTGTAGATTTGTTGCCATACGTCAGATAGGAGACAACAAAAAAAAACGGTGCTAATATAGACATAACAGAAAGAAAGAAAAAAAATGATTTTATCAATATTACGGTATGTATAAGAGTAACTGATAAAGAATATATTTTTTTTATTTTGTATCTGACTAATATTCAGATAATCGATCAGACAATATGGCATTTACTCTGGGACCACCAAATTCATCGAATGATTCCGATGATTATATTTCATCATTAACAACATCATCTGATCGATCTGATGAACAACAAAATTTTACAATCTCTGATCATGCATCACGTACTGTATCGAAAATTTCATCCTATCTTCGACAAGGATTTTTATGTGATGTTGTTTTTGTTTGTGGTAATGGACATGTGAAACAAAGAATTAATGCTCATCGTCTTGTTATTGCAACTTTATCGGATTATTTTCGTGCGATGTTTGATAGTAATATGATTGAAACAAAACAACGTGAAATTATTATTAATGATATTGATCCAGATGCACTTGAAAAACTGATATTATATGCATATGAAGGTAGATTTTATATGGAATAAAATTAGTTTTTATTTTATTTGAATTATATATATTAGGTCGGCTAGAACTTCAGCAAGATAATGTTACTAATGTGCTTATTGCTGCACATATGTTTAATATAACTGAAATAATTGAAGCTTGTTGTAAGTACATTGAAAAACAGCTTCATTCGTCCAATTGTCTTGGAATCTATAAATTTGCTCTTCAACATGATTTAAATGAATTAAAACAAACAGCTTGGAATTATATTCTTGTAATTTTTTGCTATAAGATTTGCTTTTTTCGTAAAAATTATATATATATTTTTTTAAAGGAACATTTTACAAATGTTATTCAAAATAATCATGAATTTCTCGAATTATCTTTTGATGATATTAAACAACTGTTAGGATCTAGTAAGTCAAGTTTCTATTTCATACACATTTTTTTCGTCTCTTTCTTCCGATGGTTTTTCAAGGATAAAGTTTGTTATAAAAAAAAACCTTAACAAAATTTGATCTCCTTCGTTTCATTAAATATTTGCGTACGAAAGACATGAAAAAAAACTACTGTTAAACATGATTTTATATATTGTTTCTTTTTTTTTACAACAGATGATATTAATGTACAATCAGAAGAAACTGTTTTCGAAGCTTTTGTATCTTGGATTGATCATGATCGAAAACGAGAAACTGATCGTTTATCACAATTATTTGGTTTAATTAAACTACCTTTACTTGATAAAAAAGTATATATTTGTAATAATTATTCTTTAGTAATAAATTTCATTTTGATTAAATAGTATTTAACAGATCATGTTGATACAGATTCAAGATTTAAGAATGATACTTCATGTCAGATGCTTATTATTGAAACAATGCGTTATCATTTAGCACCAGAAAAACGTTCATCTATGCAATCAATACGAACTAAACCAAGAAAAGCAACATTAGGTGCTCTATATTGTCTTGGTGGAATGGATAGTGCCAAAGGTAATAAAATAAGAAATTGATTTCGATTTCTAATTTATTAATTAAATATATAATTACAATTAGGTCCACAAACGATTGAACGATATGATTTTCGAACTCGTTCATGGCAGCTGAATGGCCATTTGAATACACGTCGTTGGCAGTTTGCTTGTGTTATCTTAGATAAAAAATTATATGTATGTGGAGGACGAGATGGTCTTAAAACGTTCGTAGATATTTTCATATATACATATGTTAATTTTTCTTATTATTCTATAGATTGAATAGTATAGAAATATTTGATTTTCAAAAGAAAACATGGAATGTTGGACCTCCAATGCTTACAAATCGTCATGGTTTAGGTGTTGGATGTATTGGTGGACCATTATATGCTATTGGTGGTCATGATGGTTGGAGTTTTCTCAATACAGTTGAACGTTTTGATCCAGAAACTTGTGTATGGTCATATGTTGCATCAATGACTAATGCACGATGTACACTTGGTGTTACTGTACTTGAAAATCGGTAATGTTTAGTTAAATACGATTGATTTATGTTTTATTGTTATTCTATGATTTAAATAGGGTTTATGCAGTTGGAGGTCGAGATGGTGCTGCTGGTCTTCGTGAAACAGAATCTTATGATCCACATACAAATCGTTGGTCACCATGTGCACCAATGCAGAAGCGTCGTGGAGGTGTAGCAGTAGCTGCTTGTAATGGATTTTTATTTGCAATAGGTGGTCATGAATCATCTGCTACAAATAAATGTGCTGTTCGACATGATGATGGTGAACGATATGATCCAAGATGTGATCAATGGACATTAATTACTTCATTAAATCGACCTAAAGAAGCGTTAGCAATTGCTGCTGTTAGTGATAAATTATATATTGTTGGTGGTTTTGATGGAAAAGTACTTGATGAAGTTGAAAAATATAATCCTGAATTAGATAAATGGACAAAAGTATAAAACGATTTTTAACTCTATTTAATATAAATTAACAATTTATTTATTTCAGTGTCCACCATTAGGAACTAAAAGAGCCGGTGCTTGTCTTATTCATGTTCCAAATTCTATTCATCAAACATCATCACCCACATCACCATCGCCATCATCATTTTCATCAATATCTTTGCTTACTACAAGTTCTTATACTTTACCATCATCTACGTCATTAATCAAACGTAACAAAGATGTCTCAGCTAGTTGTCATCAATTGAATCGACTTATTTTCTCATAAAACATTTTTTTTTTATAAATTTATGATATTCATCTTTCTTCTCATTTTTTTTATATTTATTTAATTCTATACAATAGACAGAGCACTGCTTTTGTTGATTTTTGTTTTCTTAGAATTGACATACTTCATACATAATTGATATTTATTAAATTTATAAACACATTGTTACTACGTGAATTAACTCTCATAGAATACTATTCTGTTTTTTTTCTTCTCTCACATTTTTTTTATATATAAAAATAGATTATCAATAAGAATTAGATTTTTTTTTTAAAACTGAATATGATTGTGTTTTTTTTCTCTTAGAAATCATGACAGAATCTATTGCTACACCTGATACAGGTGCAGTTGGAGATCAAGAACGACCGAAAAGAATATTCAAAATTATTGTTATTGGAGATTCACATGTTGGTATGAGTATTAAAATTGTATATACAAATAATATTTTTAAGTTTATAATTTTATTTTAGGTAAAACATGTTTAACATATAGATTTTGTTCAGGAAAATTTCCAGAAAAAACGGAAGCAACTATTGGTATAATTATTTATTGATAATAGATAAGATTTACTTTATTTATTTGTTTATAGGTGTGGATTTTCGAGAAAAAACATTAGAAATCGATAATGAAATATTTAAAGTATGTATAGAACTAATGATATATTTTACCATTAATACTTTTTTTATCTTTAGCTTCAGATTTGGGACACAGCTGGACAGGGTATATATACACTTCTTTATCTGTAACTAAATTTTTAAGTGTTTTGTTATTTGATAGAACGATTTCGTCGATCAATGATTAATCATTATTATCGAAATGTTCATGCTATTGTCTATGTATATGATGTGACTAATTTAGCTTCATTTGAAAATCTTCCAGGATGGATTAATGAATGCGATAAACATGTTCTTGATCAAAATTTACCACGTGTTTTAGTGGGCAATAAATGTGATGTATCGCCTGATGACATCGTTGTTCCTAATGCTGTAGCTCAACGATTTGCTGTATGTCTATATTTAATACGTATTTTTAATTATATAGTATCTTTTTTTTACTAGGATGCACATAATATACCATTATTTGAAACATCAGCTAAAGCAGATGAACATCAAGATCATGTCAATTCAATATTCATGTTAATTGCACATAAACTTAAACATTCAAAACCACTTATGTCACAATCAAAAATCTATGCACATCGTGATATATCAGTAACATCATCACCTACAACATCGAACGATGCTAGTTATTGTTCATGTTAAATTTAAAACATTCAAACTAGCAGTTATTTTTCTTAAGAGTTTAAACACATAAAAGAACTTACTTTGTATACATATGCATGTGTCAATTACATTCATTCTCTTTTTCTTTATCTCGATCCTTTTATATGTGTATACATATACACATGTAATTTATCATATTTCTTTTTTATTGCATTCCCATTATTTATTGCTAAATTCATTTTATTTTTTGCGTATACTATTGTTACGATTGCTAATATAATTTGCTTTAATGTTTGTTTGTTTATTTGTTTAATTTGATGGGTTACTTTACGGGTGACTGACATTTCTATCTATGCTGTGTTATATTTAAAACTTGCAAAAAAAAATCGTTCAAATATCATATGAAAAGATTTTTTTTTATTATATTTTTGTCTGTAGTTATTGTTTAGAAAACGTCCAAAATATAATAAGTTAAGCGTTTCTCATATCTGTATCATTTAGTCATTTAATTTTTATAAAAATATGATTAATTTCAATATGCTAGATTAGGTTATATGTACAATAAGACAACAATTACCCATACTTTTATCTGTACTTATTCACCACAGTAACGGAAAGATTAAATTAAAAGACATTGGAAAAATAGGGAAAGGGTTGTATATAAAAAATCCTTTTACCAAAGGTATTTTCAGGTGTAGAAATCCAAGTTTTTTAATTATTTAGTAATTAATATAGTTTGTTCATTTTGTACAGTAGCTGATTGTCGATCAGAAAACCAACATATCATATACAGAATTGCGTCAATAAGATAAATAATATCACCAAGAATAACCATAAGCTGTGTTATTGGTGAAAGAGTAATAAATGTTGCTAGAACGTATAGTAAAGATGCTAACAAGTTAAAAATATTAGCACACGTATAGAAAATACTCGGTCCCTTAATCATCATATTGCTTGCAGCACCAATTGCAAAACCACAAACACCAATGGTATTACATGTCCAGATTGTTTTTGAAGTTGTGAACGCTGTTGCTAAAAATAATGCACCAAAAAAATATGAATAACTTCCAATCTTATCACATAAACAAGAGAAAACCATGATATAATATCGATGAGTACTACTGTTAGTATTCCAAATTGAAAGTAATTGAAAAGTAGAGTCAACTACGAATATAGCTGCAAGAATAACATAGATACCAGAAGATATTGATGCATTGAAAGTATCTGGACGCATATAGTCAAGACCATCCATCAATAAATAACCAATCATACCAACAAAAAATATAACATTAGCCCAAAATGACCAGAATAAAGCACGAGTACGAAAAAAGTTACTCTCCATGCCTTGTTATTTTATATCAATGGCGTTTTTCTTCTAATTTACATGCAAGTTAAAGGGTCACAGCTGGAAGTATATTTTTATAAACCATTATACGAAACCCTATCACTCTTTTATTAAACTATAATACGTGGGTGACAGCATAGTAATAGTGGTACTCTTCACATTTTCTATATATTAATTATTTTGCAAAAATATGTTATTGATCATTTACTAGTGACCTGTTTCTTTTTATTATTATTTCAAGAATCAAAATGAAAAATTTACATCAATATTACAGTTTGAACTATGTTCGTGCGTATGTACATGAAATTTCATATATACAATGATAAAGATTGCTTAATATTAACATTTATTCATTTTTGATAAATATATGGATTGCATTTTTCTCGCCATATAATTGATACAGATCTGTACACTTTCAAATCAAAGTATACTGAAATCAATATGATAATTACAATGAACTAATATTATATTCATCTGTATCAATCCCCTGTGTGTTTATTGCATTTTGATTACTTATAGAGCACATGAGTAATAAAAAATAGAACTATCTGATTTCAGATGGATAAAAAAAATTCTTCTTGGTCACCATGATCAAATGTTCTTGGTACGTTCAAGATATGAAAGTACTTCTGATTATTATTTCATACTTTCCAAGACAGAGTTCATGTTTTTGTAAGACTTATCTATATGTAGCAATGTTAGCAGTATTTACGATGCTTTATAAGTCGATAATATTTGACTATGCGTCGTCTTGAATCACTGATATTAGATAGTGCTGCGATTGTATCAGAAATCATGACCGTGGCAATATTTGAGGAAATACTCAATAGAAAAATAACTTTCATTCTAGTAACAGAGATTTCTATCTATAGAACAGATCTTATACATGATGTCAAATGCAAAGTCTCTTTGAGGAAAATAAAAAGATGTTGAAACAGTGTTGCCAAATGTCATAGTCAGAAAATCGGAAAATGTCAGAAGCTTTTTTATTAAATGCGGAAAAGTTTTAACAGTTAATTTTTACCAGTTAAAATAATTTTTTATAAATCTTATTCTCAATTATATCATTTATTATTTCAAAAAATACATGTTTCAATATACCAAAAGAAAAGTAACATCAAAATTCAAAATATAATAAACTAAATATATAAGAAGTATAAACCACTGAGCTGAAAAAACAGAGTTTTACTCAAGTAATTGTGTAACTTTGTAGCATATGCACAATTATCATGAGATTCTGTATGAAAATAAGAAAACTCTGAAAAGTGCATTCTAATAAAGGTTTGCACTAGATATATCAAATACAGATACATAAATATAGAAAGACAAAATATTCACGTAAATTAAAAGTATGCATTTATTTATATATATGTATTACAGAAATAGAAAAATGTTTAGTAAATCTTATTACATTATTGATTGTTTGGTAATTTTGAGAAAGCTTTTATCACTCATCAACATATAAATTTATATGAAATTACAAACTTGGACTAATAGTTGGTACATACATATAGTTAACTGTAAACTAAATCGAACTTTGATTAGAGAATCATGATGTTTCTGTTATGGTGTATCATTTCATCAACCATTTGAATGAGTAATTCATGTACTGTATAATATCATTACCAATAACAAAAAAAAATGTATCTATTTGTATATATATGTATGTTAGAGTGCATTACACGTGACGATCAGTTTATAACTAATAACTGATTCAACTAATTCACTTTCATAATATATTAATAACAAATCGAATATCATTTTAAACAACATATTCGTCAACATCAGTAAAATTATGTTATTAGTTCTTATTCATAGATAACATGAACATAAAATATAATCTTAGATGCGTTCTTCACTAATAAATTAATATCATCAATGTACAAAATATATAAATCCTGTCTTCAATAGTTACTTTTTGACTCACTGACTCCTATACAAAATAAAACTATGAGTATCAGCGGGTCAGAGTAATTGGCCGAAAAAGGAATAGACGGCCGAACCGATCGAAGGCGCTGCTTGGCTGTTGCGGCAAACTCGTTTAACCTGTAGCTGTCGATCCGTAGTTTACCTGCAACAGTCTAATATATATCGATATATATATGTATATTAATAAATGTACAAAGATTTCGGAGTTAAGAGAACTTTCCCAATGACTTTTAAAATAAAAGCAAAAAGATTTTTAATTCATTAATAACTATCTTAAAATTTTAAATGTAAAAGCCTTTCAAAATTAAGTGGTTTCTATCGTATAATTTACATTTTTCTCAGTCATAATGACTGAAACAACTTCAGTATCTTTTGACTAGAACGATACATTCATTTTTTCTTTCTTTGATAACTCGACTTATTTCAAGTGGATAACTCGACTTATCCTTTACAAAATTTTTTTTGACTGAATCTATACATTCGTTTTTTCTCTCTTTGATAAGTCGAGTTATCCTTTAGATAGCATCTTTCAGTTAGGTCTATACGTTTGATTTTCTTCTTCCTTTGACAACTCAACTTATCCTTTATATAATTTTTTTTTGATTAAATCTGTACATACATTCTTTTCTCCCTTTGATAGGTCGACTTATCTTTTACATAGGATCTTTTGACTAGATCTATGTATTCAATTTTTCCTCCCTCTGATAAGTCGAGTTATCGTTGTATTTTTTATATACTATTGATGTTGTATCATTTAATTTTGTATAGTCGATTAAAATATTTAAGTCTGGATTCTTTCAAATATTATCAATAATTCCTTTTAAGTTCTTTATACCATCAATCTAGTAATTATCAAGAAGCTAATAAACCGATGATTATTTAGTTTTCGCTCAAAACATTTAGAATATGTTGCATGATGGTGACATCTTTTAAAATTAATAGCACTTAAATGTATAAGATATATGAAATAGAACAGCCAATCAATTTATTAGTCTTTTTCGTTCTTCGGCTTCGGCTAATTACTCCGACCCAGTATCAGCAGGCATGCGTCTTGTTATATACACAGAAAAAAATTTCGTCGAATGAAAACAATACTTTTGATTTACGTTAGCGTCAAGAGTATTCTTTTGCACGTGACCATATATAAAGGTGTACAATATAAATTTGCTAACCAGTGCACAAAGTAATACTATCATAATATGCAACATTCTATGTTCTATGTTATTTATTTCTTAATAATCTTTGTTCTATGTGAACATCTCATACTATCAGGTAGATTTATTTTATATTTTGCACTTTCTTTACTATGTATGACAATTTGTTTTCTCATATACAAGAAGGATATTGTCGGTGTCTGTCAAATGATTCTACTTGTTGGCCGAGTGCCTCAATATGGCAAACTTTTAATCAATCAATTGATGGACAACTCATTTCTTCTCAACCATCAGCCGCAGTTTGTAATTCTAATCCATCTAATATCAATGCATGTAATATAGCAAGAAATAAATGGACAAATTCGTCTTGGAGAAGTGATCACGCAGGTGCAATGCAAGCTGCTAATTGGGAAAATAGTTCATGTTCTATTTATTACAATAGTATGACATGTAATCAAGGCTCTGTACCTATATTAGCAGTCAATGCAACGTTACCTCAACATGTTCAAAAAACATTACGATTAGTGAACACTTATAATCTACGTCTTGTCATAAAAACTACAGGACATGATTATTTAGGTCGATCAACTGCAAAAGGAGCATTACTTCTTTGGTTACATTATATGAAACACTTCACTCTACTAGAAAACTACTCGTTATGTACTGGTAAAAATATCTTGAATGCTATTCGTGTTGGTGCAGGTGTACAATGGGGTGAAGTTTATGCATGGTTAGCTTTATATAATTTAACTGCCATTGGTGGAGCAGCAAGTACTGTTAGCGTTAGTGGTGGTTATCTACAAGGAGGTGGGCATAGTCCATTATCAAGATGGAAAGGATTAGCTGCTGATCAAGTTCTTGAATTTGATGTGATTATGGCAAATGGACGTCGCAAAACCGTAAATAGTTGTCAAAATGTCGATTTATTTTGGGCATTACGAGGTGGAGGAGGTGGAACTTTTGCAGTTGTACTATCGGTTGTACTACGTACTTATTCATCACCATCTATTATCAGCAGTCTTCAAGTTATCTATCCATCAAATGAGACTCGTTATGCTAGTTTTATTCACGATTTTGTTGAGTTCTTGCCAACATTAGCAGATGCTGGATGGGCTGGTTATTTCTATATAAGAGATAAAACATTTATCATTGGGCTTCTATTACCCAATGGAGACAGTGAAATGGCATATACAACAATAGATCAATTATACAATAAATATACTGATTTCAATTTCGCACGCTCTTCTTTTATACAATTTTCTAGTTTTAATGATTTTTTTGTCACAATTGTGGAACCACAGAATCCGACAGGCAAGAATCAGATACTTGGATCTCGTCTTATTCCTGAAGCAATTGTACGTAATAAGCCGCAACAAGTTGCTGATGTGTTTTTTCAACTCAAAGGTGGACATATGTCGCTTCTTATGGGAAATTTTGTTGCTGGTGGGAAAGTGTCCAGTAAAACACAAAATAATAGTGTTAACCCTGCATGGCGCACTGCTCTTCTCCATATGATCTATAATGAGAGATGGGTTGATGGAACATCTGTTGAAGAGCAAGAAATAATTGCTAAGACTGTCACAAGAAGCGTAAACATTCTACAAACAATCGCAGGAGGTTCACAATCTGGTGTATATATGAATGAAGGTGATCCAAATGAAAAATATTGGCAGCAAAAGTTTTTTGGTACGATAAAAAACTATAATCAATTAAAATCAATTAAAAACAGAGTAGATCCAAATGGAATATTTGTTTGTAATAAATGTGTAGGTAGTGATGATTGGTCGGATGATTTGAATTGCCGAATATATTAAATGTAGGTGAACAAAGTTTAATTATAGAAATTTTGTTTATAATGAAGATTTTTTTGTTCATTTTTTAATATATAATTATAATAATAAAATAAAAAACGTTCGAGCTCATCGTTCATTTAAAAACATAAGTATCCTGTTAATTTCGCTATTTATTATTAATCAAATCTTTACATATAAACACACAACATAATAAAATTTGGTTTTGATTATCTTTCATCGTATCAAGTATTGCCGCAACATTAGCAACAAAAATCTGGAAATGTTTCATCACATAGATATTTTCCTAAACATTCCTTTGTTTGATAATCATCATAAGATATTTCTTGATTATAATATGCTCATAACTGTATTGAGTTATCATCCATTAATACTTTTATCATATCATCGATCGATACAATTGAACTGAATTTGTCATTGATGATGATGTTAATGATATGGAATCAAAATGAGTGATATTAATTGAGTTTGAAAGTAATTTTACACAATCTTGACAAGCATTTTGTGTAGCAGTTGAAGGAAATTTAACCAAAAATTTACGTTGAATATTATCAACCAACTATTCAATTACTTTATGATGGTATACTTTTATCTGAAGAATATAAAAAAAGACACTTACACGTATTCGTAATTATCTTGAAATACATTTTGATTAACAAAACCAAACTATTAAGTGGACATTTGAACAAATTTATAATCGAGATTTTATTCCTATTTTACATCTTCTTCGAGCATATATGAAGTTTTTTAATAATAGAAAATATTCTAATTTACCGAAAAATTTGTTTTTAAAAGTCAATATGGTTAAAAAAACGAATGGAATATTACAAACAAAAATTGTGAATGAATGTTTCATCGATGATCATGATAGACAATCAATGGCTGCAAGTAAAGATTCAATGGTTCTCCTTTTAAATAGAAATTCTTCGTTATTCTATTTTAGATAGGATCTTTAAAACAAGATGATCTTATTGATTCTGTATTCGATTTTGCATTCGATAAATTAGCAAGTATCGAAAAAACTTTATTGAAATTTATAAATAGTCATTTATATCGTTATAATATTTATATAAAACAAATTGATATACAATATTTTCAAGATGGATTAAATTTACTTTATTTAATATCTCATTTAGAAAATTATTTTATAATACTTAATAAATATAATCATAAAAGACCAATATCACGTGAACAATCTCATACTAAGCTTCAATTAGCTTTTCAACTTATGAATCAAAGTAAATATTACGGTTTTCCTCAAAATAAAATCATATTTTTCGAATTTAATTATTTTAGTTAGTATCGACATTGAAGAATATTGTCGAATCAATGATCTTCTTGCTGGAAATCAAAGAACTTTATATCGTCTTCTTTTTCGACTTTACATCGAATATAATTCAGATTCAAATAATTTATTAGAATCAATTACATATCTTCAACCTGTTTGAACGAATATTGTTAGTCCATTTTTGTAGTAATTGATACTTTTTACAAAAAGCTTATATCAGATCGATTTTCTTACTTAATTGCATGATCAGAACCTTAACTGTCAGATTTTTATTTGCTCTCATTTATATATCAATACTTAATTTCTGTACATTATTCAAGTATAATTTTCAAAATAAATCTAATTTTTATTTATGAAATAAAAAGATTATATCATTTATTATTTCAAAAAACACATGTTTCAATATACCAAAAGAAAAGCAACATCAAAATATTATAAACTAAATATATAAGAAGTATAAGTCACGGAGCCGATGTCAAATAAAAAAAAAATTTTTCTGAATATTAAGAAATAAATAAAACTTAATTCAATAAAAATCATCTAAAATCTGGAAAAATCCAGAGAAACTGAGAAAATTTGGAACTTTTCTAGAAAATCCGGAAGACTTAGCAACACTGTGTTGAAATGATACCATCATTTGATACTGTGAATGACAAAAGCACGATTATCTTATCTATTCGATATACTGTTTTTCTAAACGTAAGATAACAAATAGTCTTTCTAAAACGTTTACCAGTATGTCTATAGTATATATTTAGCAATCTTGAATCTATTTTATGACACTAATATACATAAACATAATTAAATCTACTACCAAAAGTGATCTCTAAGAATGTAAGTGTGAAATTATAAATAAAACATTCCTTTTCTTAGATTCGCATGTCATGTATACTTGAAAGAAGCTAATACTATGAGATAAATCATATCATGTTATGTTTTTGATGATATCAGAACAAACAAAAGTTTCGGAGAAAATAATTTGATAAATAATAGATGAGAACAATTTATATATATCTAACCAGATTCTCATTCTGAGAATAAGAAATTAACTGATAATCTTCTGATATTTTTGATTAAGAGTGACATCTTTATAGTCACAAAACTTAAAGAACGCTTGATTGGCTTTTCGAATACTCAAAGTTCATACAAAAGAAAAAGTTATTTCATTCATTCATGACATACTAATTTTTTTCCCAGATTATAACGATCTATTTAAAGTATTGTATTATTTTACTTTTTTATATTAATTCTTATTTTGAAGAATGGCTAGTTCATTTGAAACTCAGGCAACACCCTCTGAAGCTCGCGATGCTCATTCATATTATAATAATCCACAAGAACATGGTTTACAACGACGAAATGAAAGTAAAATTTTATATATGCGCAATTTTAACAATTGGATCAAAAGCACATTAATTAGTATGTGACATTCTACAGAATCTATTAAATTATTTTATCATACTTTCTATTATAGATGAATATTTACAATTAATTAGAAATGAAGATTCTGAACGAAAGGATCGAATTCATGTGTTTGACATGGGCTGTGGCAAAGGTATATACTATTCATCTAGTTTTATAATATGTTCAATGTCATTTTCTAGGTGGAGATCAACTAAAATGGGATATTGGACATGTAAATCGTGTTACTTTTTCTGGTTAGTTTAAAGAAATTGATCATTGTTATTTATTAGTTTTGATAATTGTTTTGTAGATCTTGCTGAAAAATCAGTTGATGTATGTAAGCAACGTTATCATACAAGAAAATCGTGTTATTCAGCAGAATTCTTCCCACTCAATTGTACTACAGTATGTTTTTTGTTTTAGATTTATTTTCATTTGCTATATGAACATACTTTTTACATACTAGGAGTTGCTTCGAGATAAATTTGAAGAAAAGAAACCTTGCTTCGATCTTGTTAGTACTCAATTTGTTCTTCATTATGCATTTGATAAACTCGAATCAGCTAATCAATTTTTACGTAATGCTGCTGAGTTTTTACGTATAGGTGGTTATTTCATTGGTACAACGGTGAATTCCTGTCAGTTAGTGTATGCTTTTATCTTTTTAATTACTTGAATAGTTAGTAGAAAAAATCGTTTTTTAGTGAGCGTTGTCGTCAAACACCCAATCAAAGTATTTCAAATGATGTGTTCAGTATTAATTTCGATCCTTCGATTAATCTCAAAACAACAGACAACGAATCAATTCCATTATTTGGAGCTAAATATCATTTTAGTCTTGATGAAGTTGTTGATTGTCCTGAATATCTTGTTTACTTTCCTTTACTCGAAAAGTAAGTTAAAATATTTCAGTTTTCTCTATTATTTAATATTTAATAGATTGGCAGAAAAACATGGTTTAGAAAGAGTTGATCGTCAAACATTCAAAGATTATTTTGATAAACATAGTGCAAATGGAGATGGTCGTTCTCTATTAAGGACAATGAAGGCTTTAGAGGTAAAGTCGATTATATAGTAAAAATTTCTTAATTTAAGAAAACAAATGATTTAGCGCTATGGACTCACATCGAGCAATTCAGAAGAGCAATCAAACAATGATTCTCAATATGCACATGCAAAAAGATACATTGACAATGCTAATATGGAACACCAAGCAGATTCTATAAAATATTGTGTAAGTTTCTTAATTGATTCAATATTATCAATATTTTCTTAATTATTTAGCGAACCCTATCTCAACAAGAATGGGATATGACAAGTAAGATTTTGTTAAAATATCTATTTAATTACTTAATTGTTTTGATATTTTAGGACTTTATATTATGTTTGCTTTCAAAAAAGTACGTCATGTTAATTATGATGAAGATACAATTACTAATGCATGATCATTTTCTTGATCTTTAATGTTGTTCCTTTTTTTTCATTTTCTTGTTCGTTACACTCGGTTTAATCGAGATATTTGTGTTGTTATTATTAAGTTATTTTTTTGTGACGATAATATGAAATAAAAATAAAATATGTAAAGTTATATAAATGGATGTTTTTCGGTGTCAAACTTCGACATATATATGAATAGATCAAATGATACGCAAAAAAGTTTGTTAAAACACAGAAGATAAATAAAATAGAAGACCTAATTTCTCCGATATATATATAAATGGCATTATAATAGTGAAAAGAATGTTAATATATCATGAATAAGCTGTAAATTAAAATGATGAAGATTTTTATTATCAGACATCGCTCTATTACTATATCGTTATAGTGATGTCGCACTTATACATATTCATTTTTCTATCTAATTCTTTCTCATTTTTATATATTGTCTTTCTTCTCTTTCTTGTCTTTATATATCATCTAGTTATATATACATATATATGTATCTGTTTTAGTCATTTCAAAGACAGAACAATGAAAGGTGCACCTCGTATAAATACTACACCTGTTACAGCTAAAAATATTCGTTATCGATCTGCATCACCATCTAATAAAACTGCAAATGGAAAGAAAAAAAGTACTGTCTCAATAAAAGAACTTGCAACTAAACGAAAAACAGTTAAAACAACTGATGGTTTGTTATTGTTATTATTTTCTTCAACAATATCCTAAGTGAAATTATTTTAGTTCAACAATCACGTTCAAAATCATCAATAGCTCGTCCAGCACGTCCTACGAATAATACACGTAGAACTATTCGTCGACAAACCACTTATTTATCTATACCATCAATTGTTAATGGTAATTCTAAAGGTGGTCAAGTATTAGCTGTTGGTGAAAATGGTATGACACAATTAGGTCTTAAAAGTTCTATTGATCAACGAAAAAATCCTCAACCTGTACTTATTCCTGAACCTATTGTACAAATTACTGCTGGTCCTTTACATTCTGTTTGTTTAACAGATCAAAATAATATTTATACATTTGGTTGTAATGATGAACATGCTTTGGGTCGTCCAGATAATAATGATGATGACGATGATGATAGTGATCCATTTGGAGAAGTTGATCTAACTAAAGTAATAAGAAATGATGACGAAAACATAATACAAATTGTTGCTGGTGATAGTCATACATTAATCTTATCAAATCTTGGTAAAGTTTATGGTATGTTTTATCGATATTTTTATATATGACATGTACTATTTCATATTGTTTTTCGAATGTTTCACGCTGGGGCACATTTCGTTCGAGTACAAATGGAATATATGGTCTTGTTCGTAAGAGTAAAATGGCTAAACATCCAGTTGAAATATCATTACCAGAAAAAATTGTCAAACTAGCAAGTGGAAATGATTTTGTCTTGTTTCTTAGTGAAACAGGACAAGTTTATTCATGCGGTAATGGAGAAACAGGTCAATTAGGTCGACTTAATCATTATGCATGTGAAAATGGTCGACGTGGTGGGATCGGTATGATCTATTGTTTAATTTGATTAATATAAAATATTTATATATATATATATGTAGAACGATTAATTACACCAGCACCTATTCTTTATAATCGTTCATCTATTAAAGAAAAGAAAATACTATTTGAAGATATTTTCACAGGTGCACATCATTATTTCTTAAAAGTACAAGGCCAACCTTATATACTTGCTGGTGGATTAAATAATTTTCATCAAATCGGTAATATTATCTTATTTTATTATGTCTTGAGAACTGACGAATAAGTTTTCTTTTTTCTATCAATATTAGGTTTACCATCAACAGATTCTGTCTTTTTTCCAACACATATACCATCACTTGACGGTTATCAATGGAAAAAATTTGCTGGTGGTCTACATCATACACTTGGTCTCACTACGACTGGTAAATCTGAATAATGATCAATCATTAATAATATGTGTTTTTTTTTGTTTTAGGTGAAGTTTATGTGTTGGGACGTTGCCATGAAGGTCAATTAGGTATTGATGGTTTAACAACTCATGTTGATCAACCAACACTGATTTCAAATATTCCAAAAGTTATTGATATAGCTTGTGGAAATCATGTATCATTTATAATCGATGAAACAGGCAAAGTCTATTCATTTGGTGCTGGTACATCACTTCAACATGGACATGGAGAAGATGATATAAAAATTCCACGTATAATGTCATCGAAATTTATGGATATTAAAAAAATAGTTAATGTAGCTGTTGGTGCTCAACATACAATTTTTCTCACTAAAGAATAATAATCTTATTTTTTTCATTTTTTTCTTTACAATAAACAAAACAAAACAAAAAACACAAAGAAATAGAGAGACAAAACTTTGTTATTTTGCACATTGCCAAATTAATTGATGCTTGGCTCTAAGAACTCATCATACACACACACACACACCGATGTAAATGACACCGAGAAAAAAACACATGTACAAAAGAAAATGCATTTCTTGCTTTTAGTTTAAAGATGCCGTTTCATATGAAGTGTCAAGTGATCAGAACGAGCAAAAGCTCGATCACAAAATTTGCACGCAAATGGTTTGACACCAGTATGTTTCCTAAACATAAACATAGACAATCATATTTTTTTTTCAAGTTTATTATTTTTTTTCATTAATAAAAGCACTTACCGATAATGTCGTGTCAATTCATCAGATCGGGCAAATTTCCATCCACACGACGGCCATGCACATGAATATGGTTTAATACCAGAATGTGTTCGTTCATGAGCACGTAAATGTGATGATTTATTATATGTTTTTCCACATCCGGGATGACTACATACATGTATCATAGTATTTGAACGTTGTGTATCTCCTTCAGTATTATTCGTTGATAGTTGAGAATTTTTTCTTTTTGCTTTTGGTTCTTTTATTGTATTTGTTGCTGAACGTTTTCTACCTGTTGATACTACTGGTGGAGACCACATATCATTCATATTATTCTGATTATTATTTATATGAATTGGAGATGTTAATGAATACTCAAGTCCTGATGATGATGGTGATGAAGATGATTTCGTATCATCCATAGGTAATGAAACTGGAATAAGTAATGATGATGAATATGCATCTGAGGATGTAGTTGAAAGTGTTGTTTCATCATATAATTGATGTCCAAAATCTATTGAATAATCAGATGAATATTGTAAAGGTTCTGTTTTAATCATTTCTGTATGATTATTTATTGAATTGGAACAAGATAATGTTGAATTTGTGTGATCATTGTATAAACAACAACATGCTGATTGACACTGTTGTTTTTGCATAAAACTTTCATACGTTGTTGTTGCTGATAATTCTTCATTGATTAATTCATTATCTAATGGTAAACGTTTTCGACAAAGAAGTAGAGCAGTAGGAGATTGAATTAATGGACTTGAACGCATTTTGGAACCTGGATGTTGATATGAAACTTCATTTATTGATGTTGTCATAGAATATAACTGCTGATGATGATGATGACGATGTTGATGGTGATTATGAGGATTACGATTGTGATGATGATACATTTGTAATGGAACAAGATGTGCAGGTGGACTGAAATCAGATGAACAAGTTGATGATGATGATGAGAAAGACATAGCTGAAGGTGTTTTGCTCAATTCGTCAGTTACATTTTGGGATCCATTGATATCAAATTGAGTTATATGATCAACAACACCGAGTTTTTTCAGACGAGCAGCTTGTTCGTAGACATTAGGTGTTTCAAGAATAAGTGATGGATCAGCACGAAGATGAGATGTTTCACGCCATAATCGTTCTAATTCAGGTGAGTACTAATAATACGAAGAAAAAAAATATTTTCAATATATTCTTCTCTCTATTAAAAATATTTTACTTACTGTATTGGGTGTCTTTGGACTACTTGGAAAATTTAATCCGTAATCTTCACCACTTTCAATCATGATACGCTTTAAATGAATAAATTTTTTCATCATAACTCGATCTTCTTTTTCTCTCTTTCGCTTTTTTTCTCTTGTTTGCTAAGTAACTGGTTGGTTGAACAACAGTATATTGAACCAATCGTTAAATGATCCGGTATTAAGTAAACGCGTGTGTATGTAGTTCTATATGTCGATTTCCGGTGGTAAACATATAGTCGTAAATGAATTTATCCTAAACGAATACAATCAAAAAATAAGTTATAATGAATACAAATAATCAAATTTATCAAAAAAATCACTCTCTATTTCTTTTACTAAATATGAAAAACTGCATTTCGATTAAGTTTTCAAGAGGACGTAAAAAAGTAAACAAATTTCGCCGAAGCGTAATATCTCTCTCTCTATCATTACTCGTCACGCATTACTTATATCTAAAATATAATTACTGACACATATGCGGAGGCGCTTACATTTTTTTTTCTGTGCGTCGTATACCTTCGTCTCTCGAAAATCGATTGTCGTTTGAGTAACAGTTACACAGATCCTTTCCGTTCTGTACAAGAAGAAACGCATACATATACTTTGTCGAGTGTTTTTTTTACTTTTTCTCTTTTTTCTTTTTCTTTTTTGCTTGTTCACCTTGCTGTGCTTCACCATGTGCAGGCTATAGCAAGGCTATAATGATAGTTGAGTTGATCCGCATATACGATTTATGAATCCTATATTTACTTGACATTAGTTATTTATTATTCATTGTATTAGACATTTTCAAAAAAAAAATAAATCCAATAGTTTAATTGATCTTTAATGCAACTGAATATTTTCGCTTCTTTATTACATATTTTTGGTTTAGATAAACATTTATGATGAATCCTTTCAATACCAAAACCTTCTGGGTACGTTTTTGATTTTGTATGAAAAAGAAAAATTTTACTTTTGTTTTTTTTTCTCTTATTACTCTTGTTTCACCCCTTGTCATGAAAATTGAATTTTCTTTTCTTTTGATTCAT